GGAGAGAGAGAGAGATGAGAGAGAGCCAGAGAGACAGACAGAGAGAGAGAGAGATGAGACGAGAGAGAGAGAGAGGATATATGTATTAGGTCTGCAACCCTGGCACTTAGGGAGGCCAAGGCAGGCAGATCACTTGAGCTCAGATGTTTGAGACCAGCCTGGCCAACATAGTGAAATTCTACTTAAAAATACAAAAAAAAGAAAAAAATTAGCCAGGCGTGGTGGCGCACCCTGGTAATTCCAGCTACTTAGGAGGCTGAGTCACAAGAATGGCTTGAACCCAGGAGGCAGAGGTTGCAGCGAGCCAGGAATGCACCACTGCACTCCAGCCTGTGATGGAGTGAGACTTTGTCTTTTAACAAGATAAAAGAAAGAACATATATGTATTTCTTTAGCTATACATAGATAAAGCAAATTCAGAAAAATGTTAATTATTGGGTCTTAGTGGTGGTGATCATTGCACTGTTCAACTTTTCTATATGTTTGAAAGTTTTTATGATCAAAAATGAGGACAAAAAATTTCTGTGGTCCCCTAAATAAAAATGAAAGTCTATTTTCTGTGGTGCTTGTGGAATTTGTGACTCTTTCTCCTTTCCCTTTACTCTCTGGCTTCTGCCAAAGCCAAGCAGACAGCCATCTGGGCTTCTAAGCTCCTCCTCCTTCCTGACTGCCTTCTGTCCCCACAGCCCAGGCCGAACCCGGATCTCTCCCCAGGGCCACTGTCCAGCCTCCTCAAGGGCTCCAGAGCTCCTGGACACCCCTGCAAGTGTTTTCTACAATGCACAAGGAGCCCCCCATAAACAAATCTGACCCCTCTCACCCTTTCCTAGGCCAATTTACCCTCAGGAGACAGAGGAATGTGTTAATTGCACCACAGAAATTCAAAGAGCAAACCCGGATGACGAAGGCCTCTAAGGGCAAATGGCCAGCTTTCCTCAATAAACCATTCTGAGGAGAGAGACAGAGCTGGTGGAAGGTGGTGGAGGTATCTATAGAGGTTTTTAAAGAAGCAACCAGTTACAATATCTGCATCCTGACGTGAGTAACCCAATAACTGCAGGCTGGGTATGGCAGTTCATGCCTGTTATCTTAGAGCTTTAGAAGGCTGAGGTGGGAGGATTGCTTGAAGCTAGGAATTTAGACCAGCCTGGTCAACATAGTGAGACCTCATCTCTACGAAAAAAAATTAAATTAGTCAGGTATGGTGTGCACGCCTATAGTCCCAGCTGCTAGGAGGCTGAGGTGGAAGGATGGCTTGAGCCCAGAAGTTCAGGGCTACAGTGAGATATGATGCTGCCATGGCACCCCAGCCTGGGCAACAAGCAAGACCCCATCTTGAAAATATAAGTAACTGCAAAGCAAACAAAATAAAAACAATTCATGAGAAAGTCTGGGCATTTGAATACTGACTAGGTAGTGAGGTTAGTAAAAATTATTGTTAATTTTTTAGATGTGGTAATGATGTTAAGTTTGTGTTTAAAGAGTCCTTCTCTAGCAAAAAAAAAAAAAAAAAAAAAAGGCCAAATGCAGTGGATCACAGCAGTAATCCCATCACTTTGGCAGGCCTAGGTGACCAGATCTCCATTGTGGTTTCACTATTCTACATTCCCACAATGGTACTAGGGTTCCCTTTTCTCCACACTCTAATTAGCATTTATTGTTGCCTGTCTTTTAACTGGGGTGGGATTGTAGTTTAATTGGCATTTCTCTGATGATCATGATGTTGAGGACCTTTTCATATACCCACTTGCCATTTATAGGTCTTCTTTTGATACATGTCTATTCTGATCATTTGCACATTTTAAATCAGATTATGAGAGCTTTTTTCCTATTTATTTTTCCCCTGAGCCCCTAATATACTCTGGTTTTTAATCTCTCATCAGATGGATTCAGGATTGATTTTGTCTTTATTTTACACCCAATTCTAAACCATTAATGCTGTCAAGTGGAGAAGTGACCTAATATTTATATTGGAAGATGACTTTGTGTGTTTGCTATCTATTGCTGTGTAACAGACCAGCCTGGCATGGCGGCTCACACCTGTAACCCCAGCACTTTGGGAGGCCGAGGCAGGTGGATCACAAGGTCAGGAGTTTGAGACCAGCCTGGCCAACATTATGAACCCTGTCTTTACTAAAATACATAATTTAGCCAGGTGTGGAAGCACATACCTGTAATCCTAGCTACTCAGGAGGCTGAGACAGCAGAATCACTTGAACTCCAGAGGCAGAGGTTGCAGTGAGCTGAGATCATGCCACTGCACTCCAGCCCAGGGGACAAAGTGAGAGAGTGAGACTCTGTCTCAGAAAACAAACAAACAAGAAAAAAAAAAACCCACCCAAAACCTAAAGTTACAATGATGTTTATTAGTCTTTTCACACGTCTGGAGGCTGACTAGACCGACTTAGGCAGTTCTGGCTCAGGATGTGGTTGCCTTCAAACAGTATGAGTTAGAATAGTGTCAAAAGTTTCCTTGCTCAAATATCTCCTAATTAATGTGCGATGTCAGCCAGGGCTAGGCTGGGGCTACCTGGTGGAATACCCACACATAACCTCCCTGCATGGCCTGGGCTTTCTCACAAAATGGTGAATGGGATCTAAGTGCACACCTCCCAGGAAGGAGAGCCAAGTGGAAACAGTATCATCTTTTAAGACCTAACTTTGGCAGGTCATGAGCAGCACCTCTACTGTATTCTACTTACAGAAGCAGTGGTCTGAGCTCATTTTCAAGAGAAGAGAAACTGAATTCTATCTCTCCGTGACAAGTGCAAAAAAATGTGCAGACAATTATTAACAATAGTGAAGAGATGAAATCAACCTAAGTTTCCTGCCATCAATAGAGAAAAGAATAAAAAAAAATGTGGCTGGGTGTGGTGGCTCACGCCTGTAATCCTAGCAATTTGGAAGGCCAAGGGGGGCGAATCACCTGTGGTCAGGAGTTTGAGACCAGACTGGCAAACACAGTAAAACCTGTCTCTAATAAACTACAAAAATTAGCAGGATGCTGTGGTGCACACCTGCAATCCCAGCTACTTTGGGAGGCTGAGGCAGGAGAATGACTTGAACTTAGGAGGAAGGGTTGCAGTGAGCTGAGATTGCACCACTGCACTCCAGGATGGGTGACAGAGTGAGACTCCATCTCAAAAATAAAAAATATAAGTGAATCAGAGAATGAAAGAACTACATTAAAGCAACTGAAAAAATTATGGAAATTAGAGAGCGTAGTCTAACACTGGGTTGTGAACAGGTGGCCCTAAGTGAGAGAACTTAAAAAAAAACAAAAACAAGCCTGGGCATGGTGGCTCACACCTATTATCCCAGTGCTTTAGCAGGCTAATTGGGAGAATAGCATGAGGCCAGGAGTTCCGGAAAGCCTAGGCAACATAGAAAAACCCCATCTCTAGAAAAGTAACAAAAATTAGCCAGGTGTGGTGGTGCACGCCCATCGTAAGAGCTACGACGGAGGCTAAGGCAGGAAGATTTTTTAACCCCAGGTGTTTAAGGCTGCACTGAGCTATGATTACACCACTTTGTTCTAGAACCTGGGTGACAGAGCAAGGCATTGTCTTGAAAGAAAGAAATGTAAGAATGGAGGGAGTAAGGGAAGAAGGAAGGGAGGGAGTGAGGAAGAAAAGGACGGAAGAAAGAAAGGAAAAAAGGGAGGAAAAAGAGAAGGAATGGAGGGAGGGAGAAAAGAAGAGAGCGAGGGAGAGGAGAGAGAGTGAAAAATAAGGAAATGAAGGAATGCAGAGATAGAGAAGTACATAATCAGTGGTCAAAAGGCACACCATATATCTGGAAAAACTAATACAGAATGACTGACCTAGAGTCAATCCTAAGCTACTGAACTTCAATGATGAGAAAAGTACTCCACTGGCCTGTCAGCAGGAAAATACAACACACATGTGAGAAGAACCTCCAGCCAGCCTCAGACCTTCCCATAGCCCCAGCCAGAACCAGATGACGATAAAGTCAGAACTTAAAGAACTAAAGAAAAATGAATCAAGAATACTCTCAAGAGAGATGTCATCCAAGTATACAAGCCTTAAACAGAAACTATGAAACCAATTTCAAAAATACAGCAGCTGTGGGTGAAGATAGAAACTGCAGATTAAAGAGAATCATGACACATTTATCTTTTTCATAATTTTAATGAATGTTGAATGAAAAGGTATCACTTGCACATAGGCATTTATCTGAAGTTCAGAAATTCTCCCACCTTACTTTAGTTTCTGCAGCTTCTGTTGTATCAGGAAAATGAAACATATATATTTAAACTAAACACAAACAAAATATGTAGTTATTTTTTATCAATTGATCTATTCATCTAACTCCCTATTTGTACAAAAAGACTTTTGAATTAATTATCACCTTTTTTTGTGAGTCAGTCTCACTCTGTTACCCAGGCTGGAGTGGAATGGTACCATCTCGGCTCACTGCAACCACTGCCTCCCGGGCTCAGGTGGTTTTTGTCCCTCAGCCTCTCAAGTAGTTGGGGTTACAGGCGCCCTCCACAATGCCTGGATAACTTTGGAATTTTTAGTAAAGAGAGTGTCTCACCATGTTGGCCAGGCGGGTCTCGAACTCCCAACTTCACGTGATCCACCCACCTTGGCCTCCCAAACTGCTGAGATTGCAGGCATGAGATATAGCACCCAGCCATATCATGTAATGTTGAGTTATTTTTTGGTAATTGAAAATTTCATTTGTTACTTCTCTGTCTCTCTCTCTCTCTCTCTTTCTCAACAGGGTCTCACTCTGTTTGCCAGGCTGAAACCTCAAACTCCTGGGTTCTAGTGATCCACTGCCTCACCCTCCTGAGTAGCTGGGACTGCAGGTGCTCATTACCATAACTGGTTGATAATTTTTTATAGAGACGGGATCTTGCTATGTTGCTCATGCTTGTCTTGAACTCCTGAGTTCAAGCGATCTGCCCACCTCAGCCTCCCAAACTGTTGGAATTACAGGCATGAGCCACATGCCCAGCCTCTTTGTACTTTTCAATAGGACTTAGATTACTTTATAATAATTACAAATCATTTTTTAAAAAGCCATCATTATTCTAAGCTTTTCAAAATTAAGCAGTAATTAAGAATGAGCTACACAAAGTAGTATTTATTCGGAACCAATTATATACTAGGTATTTTGCATATAGTGGACCACCTAATTGACATATCAAGGCAGGAATTATAATCTTGATTTTCTGGGAGAGAAAATTGACACAATTATTTCTTAACTCTAGACTTACACAGTTACACAGCTGCTGCCAAAACAAGTGCCCATCCCAACAGCCTCCACCTTCTGCTTTTATCAAATTCAACCCCCTACTTCTGCTAACATATCTGTGTACAAGAATGTATGCATGCACGCACACATGCACGTGCACACACACACACACACACACACACACACACACACACACACACTCCTGCAGTATTTCATCTGCCTAGGCCAGGAAATTGTCATGACAAACCAAATGCAATAACTATTTCCTTACAAAAGCTGTTATTCAATATCGCCAGGATTTGGGAAATAGTTTCTGATTCCACACTGATGAGGGTCACAATGAGGTTTCAAGAGAAGTAATTACAAAGCATCCTAATGAATGCAAAAGGCTATGATGTTCAGATACATCAAGCCCTTTGAGATGCTCCACTGGAAGGTCATTGAGCTGCCAAGTACTATTGACTCAGGGTCGTCTTGGTCCATGGTCATTAATAATGATACTTTGCACTTCTTTCCTATTTGTGCTAAGGCTCGTTTCAAAAGCTGGAAGCAGCTTATCAATTTCTGGGTATGCAAATATCTCTTTCACAATGTTTATGGGGGGTGTGTGTGCATGCTACGAAAAGGTATACACACAAATATTCACATATAAATATATACACACATATCTACATGTGTTTATACTACACTAATTAAAAGGTAAATCCTTAATGATCCATAAAGAGAAAATGGCAGACCAGGTGTAGTGCCTGACACTTGTAATCCCAGCACAGTGGGAGGTTGAGTGGGGAGGCTCAGTTGAGCCCAAGAGTTTGAAACTGGGTGAGACCCTGTGTCTACACAAATATAAGAATTAGATGGGCATGGCAGCTCTCCCACCTACTCAGAAGGCCAAGGTGGGAGGATCACTTAAGCCAGGAAGGCAGGAGTTGCAGTGAGCCGAGATCACACCACTGCACTTCAGCCTGAATGACAAAGCAGTAACTTGTCTCAAAAAAGAAAGAAAAAAAATTGATATCCCAGAAAACTTTAAAATATCTATATATTCACAAAAGTATATAACCATAGTATATTAATGAAAAAGTAAATTATTAGTTGTACATGGCAAGCAAAGGACAGGCCATGGATGATGGTTCATGTTTGTAATCTCAGCAGTTTGAGAGGCCCAGGAAGGAGGATTATTGCTGTCCAAGAGTTTAAGACCAGCTTACCTGAAAAACTTGGTGAAACCCCATCTATATTAATAATACAATGTGATATGGCTGGCCTAGAGTTAGAACCTGTACACTGCCGTTTTATAAAAGACAAAACTGTTTCCATTCTCCTCACAATACCTGCTAACCTTGGCCTCTGTAAACTGCTAATTTACTTTGCAGAATGCAAAGACGTAGAGCTGCATACCTTCTCTTATCTGTAACTGCCAGAATTGGTGGCCTTTGTTTACCGGTAATGACCAGAGGAAGCACCCCCAGATAATTCCATCCTGATGCAAAGTAACTAAAAAATCTGTGGACCCCACACCTGCCCAAATAATGTTAAACTAATGTTTATCTTGACTTCTGTAAACCACTTAAGTGGCAACTGGAATGACAAAAGTCGCCTGGCCCTTGGACTGTCCAGAGCCCCATCACCCTCCGCTCTGCCCACGAGGTGATTTACAGCCCCTGAAATGTCTGAAGACTTTAATCCCATCCCCACTCCTCACCTCCACTCCCAAGGTGGTTTTGCGGGTATAAAAAAATCTTGTCAGCCGTCTTTCTCTGCCACGGGCTGGACAGACGTGAGTCCTCTGTGGTCGCCGGCAATAAACCCTGCAATTTGGCATACTTTTGTCTTGGTGTTGACTTTCTATGCTCGGCCCGATACAACAAAAATTAGCCAGTCTTGGTGGCACGCACCTATCATCCCAGCTACTCAGGAGGCTGAGGTAGGAGAATCACTTGAACCCAGGAGGCCAAGGCTGCAGTGAGCTGAGATCCTGCCACTGAACTCTAGACTGGGCAACTGAGTGAGACTCCATCTCAAAAAAAAAAAGACCAGCCTGAGCAACAGAGAACCAACTTCTCAAACCAAACCAGAAACTAGTTAGAAATGGCAACGTCTGCCTGTAGTCCCAGCTACTGAAGATGGTGACTGGGGAAAATCAGTGGAGGCCAAAAGGCCAAGGCTGCAGTGGAGACATGATCACATGATGACACCCAAGCCTGGGTGACAGAGCATGAGGATAAAAAGTTAACAGGAAAAAATATAAAAAACAAGACCTGAAATGAGCAGCTACCATATCCAGGGCAAAGACAGACTGACAAAGCAGAGGCTTAATCTGCTCTGAACTCCCAGAAGACAAGAAAAACAATGAGACATTAAATAAAACAGACCACACTGTAAAATGAAACAGGCAGAATTTACTACAAATCGGTCAGAAATACACTTTCAAGATTAAAAGTAGACATAGGCATTTAGCCAAGGCACACTGCGAGAAACTAAACACGAGAGTGCAGGGAAGCTTTGGGATTCTAGATGCAGTTGAAAATCAAAGACATATAGAGCTGGATCGACAAGAGGCCATTATAACGCACGTGCACTGCAGAAAAAGCCACCATGAGAGGAGATGAGACGTGAGTGTCCCTTAAGAGGCAGGAGAAGAGCCCGAAGAGGCCATCGTGAGGCAGGAACTGAGGTGAAAATGTCCACGGCAAAACAGGAGTTGCATCTTCAGAGGCAGACATGACTAAGCAGATGGTCTTGGAGACGCCAGTGTGTACGAAAGGAAGACCTGCCAAAAGGGCTGAAAAACAGCTATTAAATAAGCCTCAGGAGGCCCACATGAGATATCTAGGCTTTGATAGACAGCTTTGAGGAAAGCACTGTGTCTGTCCGGACCACCGGGAGGCCGAAGGAGGGCCTGAAAAGTCCATATGAGGAAGGCTGAGGTGTACAGAATTTACCAAGACGTGGGAAGAAGCTGGGCCTGTGATGCTTCTTGCAAGGAAAGACTGGGGCTTCCAGACACAGCAGGGAGTAAGAGCTGGGCCTAAAGAGGCTGACCTGAAGACATTTTGGGAATAAAGAGGATACCAGAATGCCAGTGCTGGGCCTGGCAGGGCCACCGGGAGGCACCAGCTTGGTCTGATGGGGACACGGGAAGGCTGGGGGAGGGCCTGAAAATAAAGGCTGCCACAGAGGCAGGAACTAAGCCTGAGCAGTGGCCACGGTGATGCCACGAGCTGGGCCTGGAGGGTCCATTGAAAAGTGGAGGCCGGGCCCGGAGAGGAAGCTTCGGGCCTGGATAAGCCGCCAGGAGGCAGGAGCTGGCCCAGGAGAGTCCATGATAGGCAAGCTCAGCAGAGGAAGGCCACTGCGAGGGAGAACCTGGGCCTATACTCGAGGCCAGCGCGAGGTGAAAGCTGGGTCTGGAGACGTTTGTCACAGGCATGAGCTGGGCCTCAATGAATCAGTGTCAGGGAGGAACTGGGCCTGTGGACATAGCCGGGATGCAGGAAAGCAAGCAGGATCTTGGCCTGGGGAAGCCACCAGCAGGCAGCAACTGGGGCTGGGGAGGCTGCGGGAAGTCCAGAGCTGGCCTGGAGCAGCCAACATCAGGCGGTAGCGGGGTCTGTCAAGGCCACCAGGAGGCAGAATGGCAGCCTGGAAAGCCCCACTTGAGAACACTTTGGCTGACAGATGAAAGGCCGAAGAAAGCTGGCCAGGGGCCGAGCCAAAAAAAGCTGCCAGAAGGCAGGACGGGCCGGTAGACAGGGCCAGGAGGAGGATCTGGATCTGGGGAGTCCCCCAGAGAGGAGGCATACGCTGGACCTCCCGAAGAGGCTGACAGGAGGCAGAGGCTGGGCCCACGGGGCCTTTGGGAGGCAGAAGCTTGACTTGGAGGAACCCACCTGATGAAGTTTTGCGCCCATGAGGAGGAGACGCCAGGAGGGCAGGAGCTGGGCCTAGAGAGGCTGAATTCAGGACCTAATACTGGGCATCCCATGGCCAGCAGGAGGAGGCAACAGGAGCCGGGCTGGCAGAAGCCGACTTGGGAATGTCTGGGGCCTGGAGATGCCCTGGGAGGGCAGGAGCTGAGCTCAGAGAGGCCACTAATGAGGCATGAGCCGGGTGGGCCTGGAGAGCCTGAGTCGGTAGTCTGAGCTTTTGGGCCTACAAAGGCCATCGGGAGCTGTGCAGGAGCCAAGTCCACACAGGTTGCTGCAAGAAAAATTCGCATGTTGGGCCTGTAGATGCTGCTGAGAGGAGGCGCTGGGCCCAGAGAGGCCGACCTGAAGATGTTCTGGACACGAAGAGGATGCCAGAAGGCCAACGCTGGGCCCGGCAGGGCCCCCTGGGAGGCACTGGCTTGGCCCCAGGGGGCCATGAAGAGGCAGGGGTCTGGGCCCGTGGAAACAGGCTGCCACAAAGGCAGAAGTGGAGTCTGAAGGGTCCTCTGAGAGGCAGAGGCTGGGCCCGAGGGCCTAGCACAGGCAGGAGCCCCGTGTGGGGAGGCTGGGCTCAGAGAGAAACCTTCAGGCTCTGACAGGCCGCCGGGGGACAGGAGCTGGCCCGTGAGAGTCCATCACAAGTGAGCTGGGCTGAGAAAGGCCGGTGCGAGGGAGGACCTGCGCCCAGAGTAGAGGCCAGCGCCAGGCGATAGCTGGCTCCACAGGCGTCTTTCAGAGGCATGAATTGGGCCTCAACTGGCCAGTGTGAAGGAGGCGCTGGGCCTGTGGATGCAGCCGGAATGCAGGCAGGCAGCCAGGCAGGTAGGCAAGATCTTGGACTGCGGAAGCAGCCAGCAGGCAGCAGCTGGGGCCGGGGAGGCTGCGGGGAGTTCAGAGCATGGCCCTGGGGCCCAGTCCTGCTTTGTCCTCCCGCTGGCCTTGGGAGGCCCAAGCACTGGGTCATGAAGTCCGCCTCAACAGGTCACCCTCCTGCCCTCCTGGCAGCACCATCCAACGTGGGTGCAATACGCCATCACGTGGTCCCCTCCAGAACCAGCTCCTGCGTCCCAGTGTCCCCCTGGGGCCCAGCTTCTGATTCCCATCAGGTGGCCTCTCCAGGAGGCCCATCCTCTGCCTCCCTACTGGCAGCCTCACCAGGCCTGGATCCTCATCCTGGCCACGTCTACAGGCCCAAGTTTTGCCCCCGGCAGCCTGTTTTGGCTTGGCTCCAGTCCAGCTCCCAGCGGCCTTTTGTCTGTTGGTGTGAAGCTTCCTCAGGTGGGGCCTTCTAAGTGTCCCTTCTGTTGAGGCCACCGGGAGGCAAAAGGGAGGCCCGGAAGGCCTTACCTGAGAAAGCCTTGGGCCGACAGACAAAAGCCCGCCGGGAGCTGGCCAGGAGCCGAGCCAAAAACCGCTGCTGGGGACCAGGTGTGATAACTCACGCCTGTAATCCCGGCACTTTGGGAGGCAGAGGCAGGTGGATCACAAGCTCATGAGATCGAGACCATCCTGATCAACATGGTGAAACCCCGTCTCACCTAAAAATACAAAAAATTAGCTGGCCATGGTGGTGTGTGCCTGCAATGCCAGATACTCAGGAGGCTGAGGCAGGAGAACTGCCTGAACCCAGGAGGCAGAGGTTGTGGAGAGCTGAGATCGCACCATTGCACTGCAGCCTGGGCAAGAAGAGCGAAACTCCATTTGAAAAAAAAAAAAATTAGCTGGGCACGGTGGCGGGTGCCTGTAATCCCAGCTACTCAGGAGGCTGAGGCAGGAGAATTGCCTGAACCCAGGAGGCGGAGGTTGCGGTGAGCCGAGATTGCGCCATTCTACTCCAGCCTGGGTAACAAGAGCAAAATTCTGTCTCCAAAAAAAAAAAAAAATACAAAATATTAACTGGGCATGGTGGTGCATGCCTGTAATCCCAGCTACTCAGGAGGCTGAGGTAGGAGAATTGCCTGAACCCAAAAGGCGGAGGTTGAGGTGAGATGAAAGCACACCATTGCACTCCCGCCTGGGTAACAAGAGAAAAACTCCGTCTCAAAAAAAAAAAAAAAGGCTGCCGGGGGCAAAATGTGGGCCCGTAGACGTGGCCAGGAGGAGGATCCAGACCTGGAGAGGTCACCAGTACAGAGGCAGAGGCTAGGTGTCCAGAAGAGGCTGAAGGGAAGCAGGAGCTAAGCCTAGGGGGCCTTTGGGAGGCACGAGCTGGCCCTAGAATGGCCCACGTGATGACGTTTGCACCCATGTGGAGGAGACTCCAAGAGGACTGAAGCTGGGCCTGGAGAGGCTGAATTCAGAACCCAATGCTTGAACCTGCAGAGGCCAATAGGAGGAGTCCGGAGCTGAGCCTGGAGAAGCCAACTCTGGGACATATGGGGCCTCTAGGCACCCTGGGTGGGCAGAAGGTGAGCCCGGAGAGGCCAGCATGAGGCATGAGCCGGGTATTCCTGGAGAGCCTGAGTCGATGGTCCGAGCTTTTGGGCCTACAAAGGCCGTCAGGAGCTGGGCAGGAGCCGAGTCCACACAGGTTGCTGCGAGGCAAATTCAGAAGTTGGGCCTGTAGACGCTGCCGAGGAGGCGCTGGGCCCCAAGAGGCCGACTGAAGATATTCTGGACACGAAGAGGATGCCAGAAGGCCAACACTGGGCCCAGCAGGGCCCACTGGGAGGCACTGGCTTGGCCCCAGGGGGCCACGGGAAGGTTGGGGTCTGGGCCTGTGGAAACAGGCTGCCACAAAGGCATAAGTGGGGTCTGAAAGGTCCTCTGAGAGGTGGAGGCTGGGCCCAAGGGCCTAGTGCAGGCAGGAGCCCGGTGTGGGGAGTCTGGGCCCGGAGTGGAAGCTTTGGGCCCTGACAGGCCACCGGGGGACAGGAGCTGGCCTGCGAGAGTCCATCACAAGTGAGCTGGGCTGAGAAAGGCCGGTGCGAGGGAGGACCTGCGCCCAGAGTAGAGGCCATCACCAGGCGATAGCTGGCTCCAGAGACGTCTTTCAGAGGCATGAATCGGGCCTCAACTGGCCAGTGTGAGGGAGGAGCTGGGCCTGTGGATGCAGCCAAGATGCAGGGAGGCAGGCAGGCAGGCAGGAAAGATGTTGGCCTGTGGAAGCAGCCACCAGGCAGCAGCTGGGGCTGCGGGGGCAGCGGGGAGTCCAGAGCTCAGCCCTGAGGCCCAGTCCTGCTTTGTCCTCCCGCTGGCCTTGGGAGGCCCAAGCACTGGGTCATGAAGTCCGCCTCTGCAGGTCCAGCTCCTGCCCTCCCGGCAGCACCCCCCAACGTGGGCGCAGTACATCATCACGTGGTCCCCTCCAGGGCCAGCTCCTGCATCCCAGTGGCCCCCTGGGGCCCAGCTCCTGATTCCCATCAGGTGGCCTCTCCAGGAGGCCCAGCCTCTACCTCCCTACTGGTAGCCTCACCAGACCTGGATCCTCATACTGGCCACGTCTTCAGGCTCAATTTTGCCCCCGGCAGCCTCTTTCGGCTCAGCTCTTCGCCTGCTCATGGCGGGTTTTCATCTGTCGGCATGAAGCTTCTTCAGGTGGGGCTTTCGGGCGTCCCTTCTGCCTCCCGGTGTCCTCAACAGAAGGGACACCCAGATGGCCCCACCTGTGAAACCTTTGGGTTGACAGACAAAAAGCCGCTGGGAGCTGGCCAGGAGCTGAGCCAAAAGATGCTGCTGGGGTCCAGGCGCAGTAACTCACGCCTGTAATCCCGGCACTTTGGGAGGCAGAGGCGGGTGGATCAGGAGATCAGGAGATCGAGACCATCCTGGTCAACATGGTGAAACCCCGTCTCACCTAAAAATACAAAAAATTAGCTGGGCATGGTGGTGTGTGACTTAATCCCAGGTACTCAGGAGGGTGAGGCAGAAGAATTGCCTGAACCCAGGAGGCGGAGGTTGCAGTGATCCGAGATGGCGACATTGCACTCCAGCCTGGGTAACGAAAGCGAAACTCCGTCTCAAAAAAAAAAAAAAAAATTAGCCGAACACGGTGGCACCTGCCTGTAATCCCAGCTACTCAGGCAACTGAGGCAGGAGAATTGCCTGAACCCAGGAAACAGAGGCTGAGGTGAGCCGAGATTACACCATTGCACTCACGGCTGGGTAACAAGGGCAAAACTGTTTCAAAAAAAAAAAAAAAAAAAAAAAAGGCTGCCGGGGGCAAAGCTTGGGCCCGTAGACGTGGCCAGGAGGAGGATCCAGGCCTGGAGAGGCCACCAGTACAGAGGCAGAGGGTAGGCATCCAGAAGAGGCTGATGGGAGGCAGGAGGTAAGCCCAGGGGGCCTTTGGGAGGCAAGAGCTGGCCCAAGAAGGGCCCACGTGATGATGTTTTGCACCCATGGGGAGGAGACGCCAGAAGGACTGAAGCTGGGCCTCGAGAGGCTGAATTGAGATCCCAATGCTTGAACCTGCAGAGGCCGATAGGAGGAGTCTGGAGCCGGGCCTGGAGAAGCCAACTCTGGGACATCTGGGGCCTATAGTCACCCTGGGTGGGCAGAAGGTGAGCCCGGAGAGGCCAGCGTGAGGCATGAGCCAGGTAGTGCTGGAGAGCCTGAGTCGATGGTCTGAGCGTTCGGGCATACAAAGGCCGTCAGGAGCTGGGCAGGAGCCAAGTCCACAGAGGTTGCTGTGAGGCTAATTCAGAAGTTGGGCCTGTAGACGCTGCCGAGAGGAGGCGCTGGGCCCCGAGGGGCCTACCTGAAGACATTCTGTGGCATGAGAGGACGCCACCAGGCCAATGCTGGGTCTAAGAGGGCAGTCTGGAGCACCGGTTTGGCCCGAGGAGGCCAGGAGCTGGACCTGTGGAGACAGGCTGCCACAGAGGCAGGAGGTGGTCTGAGCGGAGCCCACGATGAGCCCACGAGCTCGTCTGTGGGGGTCCACTGAGAGGCGGATGCTCAACCCGGAGGGGCTTAGCGCTGGCAGGAGCCAGGCCTGGAGAGGCCAGGCCCAGAGAGGAAGCTTCGGGCCTGCACAGGCTGCTGGGATGCAGGAGCTGAACAGAGAGTTTATGAGAGGCAAGCTGGGCTAAGAAAAGCAGGTACGAGGAAGAAACAAAAAATACAAAAAATTAGCTGGGCATGGTGGCGCATGCCTGTAATCCCAGCTCCTCAGGAGGCTGAGGCAGGAGAATTGCCTGAACTCAGGAGGCGGACATTGAGGTGAGCCAAGATCACACCATTGTACTCACGGCTGGGTAACAAGAGCAGAACTGCATTTCAAAAAAAAAAAAAAAAAAAGGCTGCCAGGGGCAAAGCTTGGGACCATAGACATGGCCAGGAGGAGGATCCAGGCTTGGAGAAGACACCAGTACAGAAGCAGAGGGTGGGCATCAAGAAGAGGCTGATGGGAGGCAGAAGGTAAGCCCAGGGGGCCTTTGGGAGACACGAGCCGGCCCTAGAAGGGCCCACGTGATGACGTTTTGCACCCATAAAAAGGAGACACCAGGAGGACTGAAGCTGGCCCTGGAGAGGCTGAATTGAGAACCCAATGCTTGAACCTGCAGAGGCCAATAGGAGGAGTCTGGAGCCGGGCCTGGAGAAGCCAACTCTGGGACATCTGGGGCCTCTAGGCACCCTGGGTGGGCAGGTGAGCCCGGAGAGGCCAGCGTGAGGCATGAGCCGGGTAGTCCTGGAGAGCCTGAGTCGATGGTCTGAGGGTTCGGGCCTACAAAGGCCGTTGGGAGCTGGGCAGGAGCCGAGTCCACAGAAGTTGCTGTGAGGCAAATTCAGAAGTTGGGCCTGTAGACGCTGCCGAGAGGAGGCGCTGGGCCCCGAGAGGCCTACCTGAAGACATTCTGCGGCATGAGAGGACGCCACCAGGCCAATGCTGGGTCTAAGAGGGCAGTCTGGAGCACCGGTTTGGCCCGAGGAGGCCACCAGGAGGCCAGGAGCTGGGCCTGTGGAGACAGGCTGCCACAGAGGCAGGAGCTGGTCTGAGCGGAGCCCACGATGAGGCCACAAGCTGGGTCTCCGGGGTCCACTGAGAGGCGGACGCTCAACCCGGAGGGGTTTAGTGCTGGAAGGAGCCAGGCCTGGAGAGGCCAGGCCTGGAGAGGAAGCTTCGGGCCTGGACAGGCCACTGGGATGCAGGAGCTGAACAGAGAGTTTATGAGAGGCAAGCTGGGCTAAGAAAAGCCGGTGCGAGGAAGGAAAAAAAAAAACAAAAAAATAGCTGGGCATGGTGGCGCATGCCTGTAATCCCAGCTACTCAGGAGGTTGAGGCAGGAGTATTGCCTGAAACCAGGAGGCGGACGTTGAGGTGAGCCGAGATCACACCATTGCACTCGTGGCTGGGTAAGAAGAGCAAAACTGCGTTTCAAAAAAAAAAAAAAGGCTACCGGGGGCAAAGTTGGGGCCTGTGGCCTGGGCCCAGACTCAAGGCCAGTACAAGGCGATAGCTAAGTCCAGAGACATCTGCTAGAGGCCAAGTTGGGCCTCAACTGGCCAGTGTGAGGGAGGCGTTGGGTTTGTGGACAAAGTCGGGAGGTAGGCAGGATCTTGGCCTGGGGAAGTGGCCGACAGACAGTGGATGGTGCTGGGGGTGCTGTAGGGAGACCAGAACTGGGCATGGAGAGGCCAATGTCAGGATGTAGCTGGGCCTGTCAAGGCCACCGGGAGGCAGAAGGGACACCCCAAAAGCCCTGAGGAAGCTTCGGGCCGACAGACGAAAGGCCGTCGTGAGCTGGCCAGGAGCTGAGCCAAAAGAGGATGCCAGGGGGCAAAATGTCGGCCGGTAGATACAGCCAGCAGGACGATCCAGGTGTGCGGAGGCCACCAGTAGGAGGCAGAGGCTGGGCCTACAGAGATGAACCTGAGGACCCAATGCTTGGGCCTCCCGAGGCCAGCAGGATGAGGCAGCAGGAGCCGGGCCAGCAGAAGCTGACTCAGGAACGTCTGGGGCCTGGAGATGCCCTGGGAGGGCAGAAGCTGAGCCTGGAGAGGCCAGCGTGAGACATGAGCTGGGTGGCTCTGGAGAGCCTGAGTCGAGGGCCTGAGCTTTCGGGCCTACAAAGGCCGCCAGGAGCTGGGGAGGGACTGAGTCCCCAGAGGTTTCTGCGAGGCAAATTCAAACACTGAGCCCATAGACACGGCCGAGAGCAGGAGCTGGGCCCCGAAAGGCCAACCTGAAGACATTCTGGGCACGGAGAGGATGCCAGCAGGCCAATGTTGGGTGCAGGAGGGCCACCGGGAGGCACCGGCTTGGCCTGATATGGCCACGTGGAGGCTGGGGGCGGGGCCTGTGGATACAGGCTGCCACAGAGGCAGGAGGTGGGCCTGAGCAGAGGCCACGGTGATGCCATGAGCTGGGCCTGGAGGGTCCACTGAAAGGCAGAGGCTGGGCCCGGTATGGGCCTGGCGCAAGCAGGAGCTAAGCCTGGGGAGGCCGGGCCCAAAGAGGAAGCTTTGGGCCTGAACAGGCCGCTGAAAGGCAGGAGCTGGCCTGGGAGAGTCCATGATAGGCGAGCTGGGCTGAGGAAGACCCCTGCGAGGGAGTGCCTGGGCCTAGACTCAAGGCAAGAGTGAGGCGAGAGCTGGGTCCGGAGAGGTTTGCCACAGGCATGAGCTGGGCCCCAACAGGCCAGTGTGAGGGGGTGCTGGGCCTGTGGACGCAGCCAGAATGCAGGCAGGCAGGCAGGCAGGCAGGTAGGAAGGCAGGCAGAACCTTGGCCTGGGGAAGCCACCATCAGGGAGCAGCTGGTGATGGGGCGGCTGCGGAGAGTCCAGAGCTGGGCCCGCTGGGGCCAATGTCAGGTGGTAACAGGGCCAGTCCAGGCCACCAGGAGGCAGAACAAAGGCCCGAAAAGCCCCACTTGAGAAAGCTTCGGGCCTACAGAAGAAAGGCCGCTGGAAGCTGGTAAGAAGCTGAGCAAAAAGCAGCTGCCGGGAGGCAGGACGTGGTCCAGTAGATGAGGCCAGGAGGAGGATCCGGGCCTGGAAAGGCCACCAGAAGGGAGGCATAGGCTGGACCTCCCGGAGAGGCTGAGGGGAGGCAGAAGCTGGGCCCCAGGGGGCCGTTGGGAGGCAGCAGCTGGCCCTGGAGGCACCCATGTGAGGATATCTTGCACCCATGTGGAGGAGACGCCAGGAGAGCAGGAGCTGGGCCTGGAGAGGCCGACTTCAGGACCCAATGCTCGGGCCTCCTGAGGCCAGCAGGAGCACACAGCAGGAGCAAAACTCCATCTTCAATGACAATAATACTAAAATTATTAAGTATCAATATAAATAATCCTTTTGTTTCTTTGAGACAGAGTCTCACTCTTTCCCCAAGGCTGGAACCAAGCATATAATCTCAGTTCACTGCAACCTCTGCCCCACCTCCCAGTTCAAAGGATTCTCCTGTGTCAGCCTCTGAATAGCTTGGATTACAGGCACCCACCACCATGCCCGGCTAATTTGTGTTGTTGTTTTTTTTTGTTTTTTTTTTTGAGACGGAGTTTCACTCCTTACCCAGGCTGGAGTGCAATGGTGCGTTCTCGGCTCACTGCAACCGCCGCCTCCTGGGTTCAGGCAATTCTCCGGCCTCAGCCTCCTGAGTAGCTGGGATTACAGGCACGCGCCACCATGCCCAGCTAATTTTTTGTATTTTTAGTAGAGACGGGGTTTCACCTTGTTGACCAGGATGGTCTCGATCTCTTGACCTCGTGATCCACCCGCCTTGGCCTCCCAAAGTAATCTTTGTTTTTCAGTAGAGATAAGGTTTTGCCATGTTGGCAAAGCTGGTCTTGAACTCCTGACCTCAGGTAATCCACCAGGCTCCTTCTCCCAAAGTGTTGGGAATGCAGGCGTAAATCACTGCGCCCAGCCCGATTAACATAGTTTTTAAAACACTGATTAGTCAGGCAACAACACCGGGCAGGGGTCTCCTCATTCCCAGTGATGAAAACCACACTCCATGGCTCCAGGGTTGCAAGGTCTGCAGAGCCAAAAGGCTCTGACTTGAGATTTCATTACTTTATTTGTATTGCGAGACAAGGTCCTGCTTTGCCACCCAGCCTGGAGTGCAGTTGTGCACTTGTAGCCCACTGCAGCCTCAATGTCCTGGGCTCAAGCCATCTTCCTGCCTCAGCTCCCCAGTGCTGATACTACAGTTGAGTGCCACCATACCTGGCTAGTTTGTAATTTTTTTGTAGAGTGTGGAGTCTTGCTATGTTGCCCAAGCTGGCCTCAAACTCCTGACCTCAAGAGATCTGCTCACCTCAGCCTCCTGAGTAGCTGAGACTACGAGTACACAGCACCATGCCTAGCTACATTTATTTTATTACATTTTGAAAAACATTTTTGTAGAGAGGAGGTCTTGCTATGTTTCCCAGGCTGGTCTTGAACTTCTGCTCTTAAAAGATACTCCCATCTCTGCTTCCCAAAAATCTGGGACTACAGACATGAACCACTGCACTGCACCTGAAGAGATTTCTTTAATCTAGCATCCCATATTTGGTAACACTGGACAAGGCTGTAGAGTTTTCAACACTTAATAATTCAGTAAGAATCAAACTCAACCTTGACCCCTGCCTTCTCTCACACCCCACATCCAGTCTGTCAGGAAATCCTGTTGACTGTCTTCACCATGTACTGAAGATCTCCACCCAGCAACTCACTGGAATCCTTCCCCCTACTTCTCTCGTCTGACCATCTCTCACCACCACCATGACCCTGGTCAGGACCACTATCATCTTCCACCTGGATGTTACCACAGCTTGACCCCCATGCTTCTACCCAAATCTTCCCACAGTCTTTCTCAACTCAGCAGCCAGAGAATGCTTTTACATCAGGAGACAGATCACGTCCTGACAGATCAACTCCTGACAGATCAGGAGACAAATCAGATCAGAATCTTCCCACAGGTCCCATCTCATAGTAAAAGCCAAAGCCCCAGCAATAGCCTCCCAGGGCTTACACAATCTACACCGATCCCCACCCAGCAACTCCATGGCCTCCTCCCCTAATTCTCTCCCCCTCTCCTGCTCCACTGGCCTCCTTCCAGAGCCTCGGACACTTTATTCTGTTGTTTCTGCCCACAATGCTCCTCCTTCAGCACCTCGGCCACCTCCTTCCCCTCTAAGTCTTTGCTCCATTTTCACTTAGGAGGCCACCCCTGACCTTTCTATTTAACACTGCCATCTGTCTCCATTTCCACCGTGTTCATGTTTTTTTTTTTTTTTTCAAAACAAGATCTCACTCTATCACCAAGGCTGGAGCAGAGTGGTGCAATCACAGCTCGCTGCAACCTCAAATTCCTAGGCTCAACCGATCCTTCCACCTCAAGACTCCCTAGTAGCTGGAACGACAGGGGCATGCCATCATGCCTGGCTAATGTGTTTTATGTTGAAATGGGGTTTCACTCTTCTTGCTCAAGCTGGAGTGCAATGGTGCAATCCCAGCTCACTGCAACCTCCACCTCCCAGGTTCAAGTGATTCTTCAGCCTCAGCCTCCAAAGTAGCTGGGATCACAGCTGTGTGCCACCATGCCTAATTTTCGTATTTTTAGTAGAGATGGGGGTTTGTCATGTTGGCCAGGCTGGTCTCAAACTCCTGACCTCAGGTGATCCTTGGCCTCCCAAAATGTTAGGATTACAGGAGTGGGCCACCACACCCGGTCAATTTAATTTTTCGTAGAGACAGGGTCTCACTATGTTGCCCAGGCTGATCTTGGACTCCTGGCCTCAAGTGATCCTCCTGCTAGGATTCCTAAAGTGCTGGGATTACCACCATCAGCCATGATGCTTGGTGTCATGTTTATTTCCTCTTGCTGCTGCCACAAACTACTCTATATTAGTCCCTTGAAACACCACAAATCTACCAACTTACAGTTCTGCGAATCAGAAGCCCAAATTAGGTCTAATAAGGCTAAAGTTAAGGTGTCAGCCGGGCTGCATTCCTTCTCGAGGCTCTAAAGTGTTCCTTTGGCTTTTCCAGCTTCTAGAAGCCACCCCCATTCCTTGGATCATGGCCATTAACTCCATCTTTAAAGCCAGAAGTGAAACCTCTGCACATCTCCCTCTCTAACTCTGCTTCCACCACCACATCTCCTGCTCCAATTCTGACTCTTCTAACCTCTTTCTTTTATAAGGATCTTTGTGACTGCTGGGCATGGTGGATCCCACCCATAATCCCAACACTTTGGGAAGTCAAGGCAGGAGGTATATTTAAGGCCTGGAGTTTGAAACTAGCCTGGACAACATAGTGAGATCCCACCTCTACAAAAGCATAACAATAAATATTAGCCAGACTTGGTGGTGAGCGCCTGCAGTCCCAGCTACTTGAGAGGCTGACGTGAAATAATGACTTTAGCCCAGGAGTTTGAGATCAGCCTGGGCAACATAACTGAATCTCATCTCTACAAAAATGAGCTGGGCATGGGTGACATGCATGTGTAGTCCCAGCTACTCTGAAGTCTGAGATGGGAAGATCACTTGAGCTCAGGAGGTCAAAGCTATAGTGAGCTATGATCATATCACTGTGCTCCAGCCTAGATGACACAGGGAGATTGTCTCAAAAAAAAAAAGAAAATTAATATATACTTGTTCTCTGTCCACGGTTCCTGGCACAGAGCTTTGAATGCTTATAAAGACCTCAGTCATAGAGGTTGATAGCATCAACTTTAGTTTTAATATTTGGTCTTGGCCCCAGCTTTCTAACACAAGAGACTCTTAAGAACTTTGGGATCTCCAGCATGCTAAGATGCATTTGGAAATTCTTATCCCCAGTTGAGATGACTGGGTGGCTGCACGCTCCTTGATTTCTTCAGGAGGAGGGCTGATTGCCAGAGAAAGCAACCACATGATTAGAGGCTTAGAACTTTTAGCCTCACCTGCTGAACTCCAGGAGGTGAGAGTGGCTGAAGATTGACTGAATTACCAATGGCCAAAGATTTTATCAATCATGCTTGCATAGTACAGCCTCTGTAAACACTCTGGACAACAGGGTTTGCAGAGCTTCTGGGTGCTGAACACAGGAGCTGCTGGGAGGGCGGCGTGTTGAACACAGGGCATGGAAGCTCTGTGCACCTCCCACTTACCTTCCTTTGGGCATCCATCTTTCTTTCATTTCTTTCTCCCTTTCCTTCCTTTCTTTTTCCTCTTTCTTTTTTTTAAAAGACAAGTTCTGGCTCTTTTCTCCAGGCTAGAGTGCAGTGGCAGAATTTCAGCTCACCATAACCTAAGTTTCCCCAGTCCCCAGCTCAATGCATCCTCACCTCAGCTTTCCTAGTAGCTGGAACTACAGGTGCACACCACCACACCTAGTTATTTATTTTTATTTACTTTTTGAGACAAAATCTTGCTCAGTAGCCCAGGCTGGAGTGCAGTAGCATGATGTCAGCTCACTGCAACCTCTGCATCCTGGGTTCAAGTGATTCTCCTGCCTCAGCCTCCTCGGTAGCTGGGACTACAGGTGCATATCAACACACCCAGCTAATTTTTGTATTTTTTATAGAGAGAGGGTTTCACCATGTTTCCCAGGCTGAACTCAAACTCCTGCGTTTAAGAGATCCTCCCAACTCAACCTCCCGAAGTGCTGGGATCACAGGCATGAGCCACTGCATCCAGCATGCACATCTCTTTCACTGGCTGTTTCTGAGACATATCCTTTACAGTGAACCAGGAACAGAAAACGAACTGACAGATGTGGTGGCTCACATCTGTAATCCCAGCACTTTAAGTGACTGAGGTGTGAGGATCACTAGGGCCCAGGAATTTGTGGCCAGCCCAGGCAACAAAACAAAATCCCATCGCTACCAAAAAATAAATTAGCCAGATGTGGTGGTGCAGGCGTGCAGTCTCAGCTACTAGAGAGCGGGGAGGACCACTTGGGCCCAGGCAGTTGAGGCTGCAGTGAGCTATGACTGCAACATTGCACACTGGCCTGGGCAACAAAATGAGACCCTGTCTCTCAGAAAAAAGAAAATAAACTGCTTTTCTGAGTTCTGTAAGCTCTTCAAGCAAATGATTAAATCAAAGAAGGGGGTCTTGAGAACCCCTGATTTGTAATAGCTTGGTCAAAGGTACAGGTGAAAACCTAATACTTGCCATTGGCATCTGAAGTGGGGGTAGTCTCATGGGACTAAACGCCTAACCTGCAGGGTCTGTGCCAGCTCCAGGTAGTGTCAGAATAACATTGTGGGATGCCCAGTTACTATCCGGAACACTGGAGAATTTGGTGTATGAGCTCCACACACACAGTCAGTCAGTCAAAGTGTGTGACTAGAGAGAAACATGGGCTTTTCTTTCACCTACCGGCCTAACTGCATAGGAGAAGCAATACATGGTGCTCATGAAAAGAGCAAGCATTAAAGTCAATGCAGTCCCTACAGCTGACTCAGCTTAATATCCATGTGAGCTTGGGGAAATCACTCATCATCCCTGTCTTTATCACCTCATTCATAAAATGGGGATAACTGGTACCTGCCTGTGACTTTTTGAGAATTCATGAAATATTACGCTTGATGTTACTGTGATCATCACACCTATTCCAAACTATCTGACAGGGACAGTGATGGATGATAACATCACCAGATCAGAAACCGTAGTGAGGTCTCTCAGGCAAAATTCCATACAAGCAAATTACTGTCTCTCCAGAGCCTTCCTGCCACACCTAATTCCCCACTCCCTGAACCGAATGTGCCATCTTAATTGTCCAGGTCTTTACAGTGCTGGTTTCCCTGCCCATTCCCCATCCCTCCACATCCCCCTTTGCTCCCTACTCTCACACAACTCTTCCTCATCTTTCAAAGGCCAGTTTCACTGTCACCTTATCTGGAAGCTTCTCACACTCTCCAGAAGAGCTTCCCATTGCCCGTGATGCATGCACTATTATTTGATCATTTTTGAGTTATTGTCCAAGTCTTTTTGTACCTGAGTAACATGATGCCCAGTCTCCTCCTGAACTCTGATGTCTTTCATGGTAGATCCAGCTGGAAGTGACAAAAAGACATTCTGTAAAAATAAAAGAAGGAATGAGGCGGACATCCATCCAATCCCATAAAAATTTTATAAGATACATGAAAAGCAAACAAAATCCAAGAGTTTCTAGGAAAAACATTAGAGGGAAGGTGTTACTGGGAGACATGCTAAAGGGTTAATTTTTATTGTATTTTACTTTTTTGAGAAAGAATCTTGCTCTATCCCCTAGGCTGGACCGCAGTGGTACAATCACAGCTCATTGCAGACTCAACCTACACGACTTCAGCAATATTCCAACCTAATTTTTATTTTATTTAAGAAATGCATTCTTACTGTTACCAAAGCTGGACTACAGCTTACTGCAGCCTCGACCTCCTAGGCTCAAGTGATCCTCCAGTCTCAGTAGCTGGGACTACAGGTGTGGACCGCAATGTCCAGCTCATGCTATCTTTAATTTTTTTTTAGAGACAATGTGCTGCTATGTCAACGAGGCTGGTGGTGATCCTTTTCCCTCAAGCAGTTCTCACACCTCAGCCTTCCAAAGTGCTGGGATTACAGGTGTGAGCTGCCACACCCGCCGCAACCTGCTGAGGAGCTTAATTTTTAATGATATAAAGAGCTCAAAGCAAATATTAGAAGGAGCCTAAATGGCTATAGAGGCTGACTGGTCAATTGTGATATATCCATATAATAAAACATTAGGCAACCATGAAAAGGATTCAGATAGATCGATAGAAATTGACAAAGATGTCCACGAAATATGAAAATGAGAAGTGATATTCAATTAGCCCATATGTATTTGAAGAATATGGCCAATTATTTCCTGAGATAAGATTATGGGTCTAATGCGTAAAGGAAATTTTTCACTTCTTCATTTAAAAGTCGTTACTATTTTTATAATTTAATAAAAGATTAAATATATAGATCATCTAATTAGTAAAAGACATGGTAACTCTATAAATAAACAGAAAAGACATGGACAGCCCAGCCTTGGTGGCTGACGCTTATAATAGCAGCACTTTGGGAGGGGGCAGTGGGAGAATTGCTTGAGGCCAGGAATTCCAGACCAGACTGGGAAACATGGCAAGACCTCGTCTCTATTGAAAATCAAAAATAATTAGCCAGACAAGGTCGCATGTGCCTATAGTCCCAGTTACTGAGGTGGAAGGATCACCTGAGCCCAGGAGGTCAAGGCTGCAGTGAGTCGAGACTGTACCACCATACTCAAGCCTGGGCTACAGAGTGAGACTTGGTCTCCCCCGCAAAAATAGAAGGAGCAAAAAAGAAAGCTAGCTGGGCACGGTAGCTCACACCTGTAATCCCAGCATTTTGGGAGGCTGAGTCAGTTGGATCACTTGAAATACGGAGTTCGAGACCAGCCTGACAAACATGGAGAAACCCTGTCTCTATTGAAAATACTGAGCCAGGTATGGTGGCACATGCCTGTAATTCCAGCTATTCTGCACACTGAGGCAAGAGGATGGCTTGAATGCAAGAGAAGGAGGTTGCAGTCAGCAGAGATTGTGCCGTTGCACTCCAGCCTAGGAAACAAGAGTGAAACTTCATCTGAAAAAGAAAGAAAGAAAGCGACAAAGAGAAAGCTAATAAACTAAGATAAGAAAACATATATTAAAATGTAACAAAATTTATGAGGTCTTTCATTTATTAAAAATAATCAAACAAAAAATAACTTGTGATTGTACCCTGTGCCAGCAAAGCTGCAGTGAAATGGGCATTTTCTTTTACTATTAGTGATGTTAAATTGTATACAAGCCTTCCACCAGGGTAAAGCTTGGAAATTTTTAAAAAAGAATACAGTGACTCACTCTACTGCCTCCTCCAACTCCTGGCCTCAAGCAATCCTCCCACCTCAGCCTCCCAAAGTGTTGGAATTATAGGCCGACAGCCACCATGCCTGAAAGCTCGGCAGTTTACATCAAGTGTAACAAGAATGCCAATGTCCTGTGACTCACAGTAATCTCCTTTCTGGAAATATCATCTTCGGATACAATTCAACCTAAACAGAAGGTCATATGCACAAACACGGTGAAAATCTAGGAGTAATATTTTTCTGTTTTAAAAACATACGGAACACTTCACAAATTTGCACGTCATTCTTGCACAGAGGCCATGCCAATCTCTCTATTGTTCCAACTTTAGTATATGTGCTACTGAAGCAAGCATGAGTAATTTAAGATAGAGTGGTTAAGCAAAATAAGGAAGAGTTATGGGGAACTTAGAAATCTATGGTATTTATAGGCACCTAGTAACAGCTCAGTAAATATTAGCTGCTACTTTTATTATCTTTATGGTAACTCCACTCAATTAAAAATTGTCATTTAAAATTTACCACTGTCATGGAACATCATGTATTTAACAGTATAATTGTAAAAACAGATAGAGGCTGGGTGTGGTGGCTCACACTTACAATCCCAGCAGTTTGGGAGGCCAAGGCAGGTGGATCACCTGAGGTCAGGGGTTCAAGACTAGCCTGACCAACATCGAGAAACCCCATCTCTACTAAAAAATACAAAATTAGTCAGGTGCGGTGGCACCTGTAATCCTACCTACTCAGGAAGCCGAGGCAGGTGAATCACTTGAACCTGGGAGGTGGAGGTTGTGGTGAGCTGAGAGTGCACCATTGCTCTCCAGCCTGGGAGCAAAAGAGCAAAACTCCATCTCGGAAAAAAAAAAAAAAGTCCCAGCACAGAGACTCTCAGCCATAATCCCAGCACTTTGGGAGGTTGAGGCCAGGCAGATCACCTGCAGTCAGGAGTTCAAGACCAGTCTGGCCAACATGGTGAAACCCTATCTCTACGAAAATACAAAAATTAGCTGGGCATGATGGCAGGTACCTGTAATCTTAGCCCACTCTTAACCCTGGGAGGCGGAGGTTGCAGTGAGCTGAGATTGTGCCATTGCACTCCAGCCTAGGCAACAGAGCAAGACTGTCTCAAAAACAAAACAAAACAAAACATACCATTTGTACCTTGGTATATGGGGGGATTGGTTCCAACTCCCCAATATCTGTGAATACCAAAATCCATGCAAGCATCTGTAGTCCCAGCTACTTGTGAGGCTGAGGAAGGAGTGCTTTCGCCCAGGAGGTTGAGGCTGCACTGAGCCATAATTTTGCACCACTGCACTCCAGTCTGGGCAACAGAGTGAGAAACAAGGTTGACTTTTAAATATAATTTTTCGGTTCACTTGAGAATTTGGTCAGAACTGTGGCATATGAAAATTCTTCATAGAATAATTATATAATCACATTCATGCTAGAATTGGGAACAGAAAATGTTTTGTTGACTCTTTATTCCTTCACTTGCTGTTACATAGACTATGGCCAGTGGGCACTTACCAACCAGAAGTGTTATCTCAGAGCTACTCACAATGAAAGGTGATGTCTAGGGCCCAGGTGTGTTGAGGTCTCCATGCCTTGGCTATGGGTGAGTAGGACTTATAGGTCAATCCATTTTCTATATTCCAGCTCTGGAAAACTTGGGTTTATCCATCTTGATAAGATGTAATTTAAATTTAACTTGGCAAGAAACACAAATGGAAGAAAGGTTATGAAACCACAGGATGGTACTTGTTCTCAAGGGACTCTTCGGCTTAGGTGCTTCTGTACAAAAGGAATGACATTGTCGAAAACTCATCACAGGTCAAGTGAGGTGCCTCATATCCATAATCCCAGCCCACTGGGAGACTAAGACAGGAGGATCCCGTGAGGCCAAGAGTTTAAGACCAGCCTTGGTGACACAGTGAAACCTCATCTCTACAAAAAACATTAGAAAATGAGCTGGGTATGGCAGCACATTCCTATAGTCCTAGCTACCCTAGGAGGCTTAAGTGGGAGGATAGTTGAACCCAGGAAGTGGAAGCTGCTGTGAGCAATGATCTCACCACTACACTCCAGCCTGGGTGACAGAGTGAGACCATGTCTACACACACACACCCCTCAGTCTGTCCAGCCTTGACTAATAAAAAGGGTCTTCCGGTTACAGAACAGGTGTGCTCTTTTGTAGGACACGAAGGGACCAGCAGGCGTGTTCACAGCCTTTCCTCATCCTCTGCTTAGTTTTCCAAGAACCTTCAAGGGAGTCCCGAGGGAAAGGACAAATCTTCTGGTTGCCAGAGGAGAAATATGCCTCCTATGTCAATTGATAAACGGAACACCTGCCATGAAAACCAGGAAGTTCTGCTAAGACGAACCACTCCCTACGACACTGACCTATGCAGGAAACATGAGAAACTGGAGTTTGTGGACCAATAATATTGAAGGTCACATTCCAGATTGTGGAGATATAACCAAAGTACAGCCTTTCCACAAGGCACTGCCAAATAACAGCTGGCTGCCTCCATTGGGGCACTGCCGCCATATCTCTGGCTCTCATTTCACCGGGAGATGCTCTATTCCAGCTTCCTCTTGCATTTTGTATTCTGTAGTTCCTGGGGTAAGACCTCACAACATAGCAGACTGCTGAGTCCATGCTGATCTACAGATCTGACTTCAGATTCTATCAGGACTCTTTCAGTTTGAGGAATTAAAGAGAAGAGAAAATGGACCCAGCCTGGCACTGGCCAGCTTAGCAGTCCGAAGATAGAAGCTGCTCAAAACGACTACAGTGCTTCTGACTTTCTTAGTCTGACCTTCCTCCTAGGGCTCTTTGGATGAGATTTATTTCTCCTTGTTGAAGAAATTGTTTGCTAGACTGTAAAAAATTTTAAGGAAGAATGAAATATTAAAATATAGTTTTCTCCTAAAGAGCACTCAAAAGTATAATCCCAGCAGTGCTGGATCTCTCTCTCTCTCTCTCTCTCTCTCTCTCTCTCTCTCTCTCTCTCTCTCTCTCTCTCTCCTCTCTCTCTCTCTCTCTCTTTTTTCTGAGATAGGGTCTCACTCTGTTACCAAGACTGGAGCACAGTTGTGAGATCACAGCTCACTGCAGCTTTCAACTCCTGGGCTCAAGTGATCCTCCCACGTCAGCCTCCCAAGTAGCTGGGATTACAGGTGCATGCCACCGTGCCTAATTTTTTAAATTTTTTTGTAGAGAAGGCCGCTATGTGGCCTAGGCTGGTCTTGAACTCCTAGGTCAAACTAATCCTCCTGCCTTGGCCCCCCAAAGTGCTGGAATTATAGGCTTTAGCCACCCCACCCAACCTATTGTTTTGTATATATATACACACGCATACGTGCGCACACGTGCTCACACACAGGCACACACACACACAGAAATATATACATAAATAAAATCTCATATACTAAATGTTGCTCCTTAAATCGCCTCCAACCCACCCGTCTGCAGGGAGAGCAAACACAGGTCTCAGCAGATCAGGCAACCTACATGAAGAAAGGAGGCTGGAGTAATGCCAGAGACCAGGAGGAACTGTAGCAAATGGCAAGGTATTCACTTCAAAGGTTTTTCAACATTGTGATGGTCAAACCAAACACAGAAACAGGAAGCCCAGTTCAGTCACCAGCAGCCAACATGAGATATTTGATCTACATGCTACAGAACAAACTGTTTAGGATGAATGACCTTGTCTCCACCACCCCGTTCTTCAAGTCCCTCCTGCCCAGTAGTCCCTACACTCTGCTGACATGACCCACATTCACAGGACTCTCCTGACCCCTTTGCGTGTTTACTCTTTTTTCCCCAATAACTATTTTCTTTTCTGGATACAGAGTTCACCTCTGTCACACAGGCTTGAAGGAAAGTGAGGTGATTATGACTCACTGCAGATTCCATCTCCCGGGCTCAAGTGATCTTGCCTCCCAAGTAGTTGGGATTACAAGCATGTACCACCATACGTAGCTAAGTTTGTTATGATGATGACGATGATTTTGAGATGGAGTCTCACTCTATCATCCAGGCTGGAGTGCAGTGGCACGATGTAGGCTTACTGCAACCTCTGCCTCCTGGGTTCAAGTAATTCTCCTGCCTCAGCCTCCTGAGTAGCTGGGATTAGAGTCATGCACCAGCAAGCCCAGCTAATTTTTGTGTTTTAGTAGAAATGGGGTTTCACCATGTTGGCCAGGATAATCCCAATCCCTTGACCTTGTGATCCGCCCGCCTCGGCTTCCCAAAGTGCTGGGATTAAAGGCATGAGCTGCTGTGCCTGGCCAACCGTTTTTATTTATAAACTAATGAGCCTCACATGTATGCTTATAACAATGCAAAACAGACTAATATAGCAATCGTATGCCAACACTTACCAGACTGTGAGGGGCACAATGACAGAAGTACAGAGTGGGACTGAAATGCTCCCAAGGGGCTTCTTGTCGCATCATAGAGAATGGGGTGAGACATCTTGGCTGAGGCTAAAGATGAGCGAAGATGAGAGTCAAAGAGTGATGATGAGGGTAGAGGAAGGTTTCCTGAAGAAGGACACCAGTAAAGTCCCCCAAGGAAACTGACATTCCACGTGGCTGGAAGGGAGGGATATGGGGAGGGTGGTACAGGATAAAACTGGAAAGGTAAGCCGAGGCCAGCTCTTACCAGGCCCTGTGGCCGAATTAGTTTGGATTTTATCTTAAAGGCAATGGGCAGTCACCAGCAGGTTTTAATCAAGTACCATTTTGACCCAAATTTGCCTTTTAGAAAAATTCCTCTGGCTTCAGTGAACAGGCTGAAGTGAGCAAGCCTGGAAGTCAGGAAGACAATTGGAGGCCTTCCCGATAAGCCAGTACCGAAGAAACCCGGGCCAGGCATGGCGGCTGCTGCCTATAATCTCAAAACTTTAGAAGTCTAAGGTGGGTGGATGTCTTGAGCCCAGGAGTTTAAGACCAGCCTGAGCAATGTGGTGAAACCACATCTCTACAAAACACAAAATGTTAGTTGGGTGTGGTGGCTCGTACCTGTGGTCATACCTCAGCTACCCCAGAGGCTGAGGCAGGAGGACAGCTTAAGCCCGGGAGGTTGAGACTGCAGTGAGCCGAGATCACACCGCCGTGCTCCAGCCTGGGCAACAGAGGGAGACTGTCTCAAAGAGAAAAAGAATCCCATTCTTCACCTATTAGCGCCCCAATGTTCTCATGAGAACCTTGGTGATGCAGTGAATTCAACTGTCATTGTAATTCAGCAATTCACACATTTAAGTTTGTGTTTGATTTTTCATAATATCAACCCTGTGGAAACAAGAAATATGGAATTGTGTTTGGGCTATCATGGAAGCTCTCTGGATCTTAGACCGTGACTTATGCTAAGACGTGAGCTTTGCGTTCTTCTCTCTGTGAGCGCTCAAGCGCAGCAGTCCCCAGGTTTTATGGTACCAGAAACCAATATCATGGAAGACAGTTTTTCCACAGACTGGGGGCAGGGGGTCCGTTTTGGAATACTTCAAGCACATCACATGTATTGTGCACTTTGTAATTATTACACTGTAGTATATAATAATCATATAACTCGCCATCATGTACAATCAGTGGGAGTCCTGAGCTTGTCTGTTTTCCTGAAACTAGATGGTCCCATCTGGGGGTGATGAAAAATAGTGACAGGTTATCAGGCATTAGATTCTCATAAAGACAGAGCAAGGTAGAACCCTTGCATGCACAGTTACACAATAGGGTTCCTGCTCCTATGAGAATCTAATGCTGCCACTGACCGGACAGGAGGTGGAGATCAGGTGGCAAAGAGGGGAGTGGCCGTAAATACAGATGAAGCTTTGCTCGCCCACCTGCTGCTCACCTCCTGCTGTGTGGCCAAGTACAGGCCTGTGATTCAGGGATTAGGTGCCCCTGCTCCACTGCATCCAAAAGGACCCTCCCCACACCAGTCTTCATCGTGGTCAAGTACAGAAGCCACTTAGCTCCTAAGGCATGTGTCTCAGCTGGCATTTCATCACAATCAACAGTAAGTGGCACCTTGAAACATTATGAGGTCACTTCCTGAAAATCACCAGCATCCCATTTCCCATTGACAAGAAGTTCAACGCTGCCCCTTGGATAACCAAACCTATGCCCAAATCCCATTTTTTGTGGGTCTTTCTCCCAGAACCCTTCCTAGAATCAGTTCTGTATATGTCAGAGTCCAATCAAAAGGCATAAATCACCCAAAGTTTAAAGTGGAAAAATTTAAAATAAAAAAAGCAACTATGTAACCAGAAAACACCATATGAGAGATTGGCTACAAAAGTAAAGAGAACTCTAGAGAACATAGGGCTAGCAGAGGCCAGACATGGTGGCTCATGCTTACAATTGCAGCAATTTGGGAAGCCAAGGCAGGAGGACTGCTTGAGGCCAGCAGTTTGAGACCACCTTGGAAACACAGTGAGACCCTGGCTCTACCAGAAAAAGAAAACAAAGGCCAGGTGTGGTGGCACACACTTGTAGTCCTGGTTACTTGGGAGGCTGAGGTGAAAAAATTGCTTCAGCCCAGGAGGTTAAGGCTGCGGTGAGCCATGATTTCACCACTGCACTTTAGACTGGGCTAGAGAGACCCTGCCTCAGAAAAACAAAGTATAGGACCAGCTGTTACAATGAGCAGTAACTTCCTACTGTCCCTACACTGAGATCGAGTGACCAAGGAAGGGATTCCCCACTCAGGCTGAGATCCAGGCCCCCTTGGAGAGGGCACAGTTGTGGGTAATTCAATGGCAGAAGTGCTGCATTACCACATGGTGGAACATGCTAGCAATATGCCCTCTGCAATTTGCTGAAAATCCACCTTCTAGGGTGCTAGCTTTACCTATTAGTAAACAGTTGTCTCACCACAAAACCACCCAGGCAAATGCAGAGAAACTGCTGGTCACTGCCTGCTGCTAAGCACCATGCAGGGCAGCAGCCTGGTGCAGCAAAAGCTCAGCGCCTGTGAAGATGTGCACACGACTAGAAACAAAAGCCTCTTAGAACGCCCCTTACAACAGCACCATGTACTGACAACATTTAATAATGCACCAGTTGACAGAGGAAGCATTTAAGGAACCCACCTCTATGTTTGCAGAGCAGGCAGTGAAGGGTGAATTTGGAACTCAGGAGCAGTCATTGGACGAATAGCTGGTACCTGACACATTTCCATCTACCAAAGAACAAAAGGAAGAGAGAAAAATGAGATAAAAAACAGGCATGGTGGTTCTCACCTGTAATTGCAGCAGTTTGAAAGGCCAAGGCAGGTGGATCACTTAGGTCCAGGAGTTTGAAACCAGTCTGGGTGACATAGAGAAACCTTGTCTCCACTAAAAATTTTTAAAAATTAGCTGAATATGGTGGCATGTGCTGTAGTCCCAACTTCTCAAGAGACTCCTCGGTTCAAGCAATTCACCTGCCTCAGCCTCCCAAGTGGTGGGGATTATAAGTACGCACCACCATGCTCAGCTAACTTTTGTATTTTTAGTAAAGACAGGATTTCACCATGTTGGCCACATCAGTCTCAAACTCCTGACCTCGTGATCTACCCACCTCAGCCTCCCAAAAGCTTCCGCCCTGTCTTTGCCCACTTAATCTAAGAAAACTAAGCTAAAATACATTTTGTAACCAAACCTAAATGAAGCTAAGTGGTGTGGCTACTATACTCAAAATACTTGAAATTCCCTTCACACAAAAATAACTATCTGGAAGCCAAGAATGGCTATCTGGAAATCAACATCCTCAGAGTACATTTCAGGGGAAAACTAGAATATGTCAGTGTAAACTATGAAAGTCCAGAGCCTTTGTTTGAGTAAGACTAGGTGCAGCAAAACCATGGGCTCCATGCATGATTGGTATTGTAGAAGAGGCCACAGGGAGTAGAAGTAAACATGACACCCTCGGCCGGGCGCAGTGGCTCACATCTGTCATCCCAACGATTTGTGAGGCCGAGGTGGGCAGATCGTTTGGGGTCAGGAGTTTGAGAGCAGCCTGGCCAATATGGTAAAACCTCGTCTCTACTAAAAATATAAAAATTAGCCAGGCATGGTGGCAGGTGCCTGTGATCCCAGCTACTTAAGAGGCTGAGGCAGGAGAATCACTTGAATCCAGGAGGCAAAGGTTGCAGTGAGATGAGATCACACCACTACACTCCAGCCTGGGCAACAGGACAAAATTCCATCTGCCAAGTTTCTTCTAAACCCAATTTAAGGCACCATGTACCACAAACCAGATAGCAAGATAATTAAATAAACTGTAGTCTTTTTCATGCCATCCAATTACATCTTGGTCAGTTCACAAACATGTTTCAGCCAATGCTAAAGGAGGTTTTCTCTTTAGGAGTCCTCTCTCCCTTCACCCTGCTTAACACAAGACTTCACACACAAAGAGAATGGAGACAGCCCCGCTTCAGGACATGCTACACTGAAAGAACCGACTGTCCCAAAAAGAGAGGGCTCCACACTTCTCTGACAACTCCACAATAGACCAGCTACACACAAATGCCTGAAGTAAGGAATTCCATTAAGAAAATGAACAGTTAGTCAGATCAAGACTTCTGACCCAAAGGGCCTGCAGCTGGTCTGATGATTCATCAAAAAGTCTGAATTTAAATGGAGACATACTGGACTGTGACATGTAATAAAAGAACTGAAGCAGCAAAGTGTCTTGGTTTGGGTTTCCTTTCCACTGTATACAGCTCCAATGAATAGAGAAGTGAGCACACCTGTGGTACTCCTGACACATCTGGGATAGTTCCCATCCACAGTGGTTGGCCTTTGGGATTATGCACACATTGCAGGGTCATTGCCCATCTGTGCTAACCTAGAATGTCCACATAAAAGCTTCTGCTTAGAGACTGCAGAGAAAAATGTCAAACCTGAAAGCCCATGAACTGTCTCAGCCAGGGGGAACACATGAAGGAGACACTACAGAATCTCACATCAGAAGCCCAATTTCAGGTTGACCTCTAAAGCTTTACGATTGTGAGTAATCAGCTTACTTTCGCTAGGCTCTGTTATTCTCACGTCAATCAACAGAAAAACAGACTGAATAGTCTCCCAGATCAATTCCAATCTTAACATCCTCTGGCTTTATGATTAAAGAATGATACTAATTAATAAGGTTGAAACTGTGGCTTAACCCCGATAGGAGCCTGCTGGGATTATGATAAGCAAAACTAGTCCACATGGACAGAGCCATTCTGACCACATCCCTCCCTATGCCAGCTATCATACAGATATGCACCACTGGCATGAGAAGTCCCTTCCACACAGGACTGACTGATTCAACAATAGGCTGATTTATTCATTCAAACAACAAATATTTACTGAGCACCTTCTAGGTATTTAGGGTTACAACAAAACAAAACAGACGAAATCCCATCCCTTACTTACATGTTAGTGAAGGAGGAGGGGGAGTCAGACATCAAATAGGAAATATAACGAAGGATATATTTTATATATGGCAGTGCTGGGATTCACTCAGGGTGGCTGGAAACATATTAAGGGAAATATTAGGGAAGTATAGAGCATAGTCTCAAACCTTTGGGAAGCCGAAAAGTTTTAATGAGCCAGGCTGAAGACAGCCAGTTCTTACATTCGAGCTTTAAGTCATAAGGTGAAGATTAAGATAATAAAAGCTTCCCTGGTTCAGTCTGTTTACCCCACATTCCTTTTTCTCGACTCCGTTTACTCATGTAAACTTCATGCTAGCTGCTCCTCTAAGGGGGAGGTTGAAAAAGAATTACTTTTTAATGGTATTTATTCTGGACCTCAGAACCAAAAGTTTTTATCATTCTTAAAACCACTCTTTTAACCATGTTAATTATCCACAAGCATGTTAACTTAAAACCTCTGTTGCTGCTTCTATACTGAATAAATGCAAGAATGAACAAGGAGTCAATTAGCTGCAATCACTCTCTAAAAGCTGATGATACCCTAGCCCAACTCTTACACTGTATTCTGTATGGAAGGGCATATTTTATTCATCTGATACTTACACTAAATAAATCTTAGTGAAACTAAACGTGAAATTGTAAGTACAAAGTGAAACTAAGTGAACTAAATCTTAGTGAAACTAAACGTGAATTGTAAGTACAAAGAAGTCACGAGAGGGAGACAAAAGGCCCAAATTAATCAAATTAATGTCTCCTTAGGGAAGACACCGAATCTGTGTCTGCAGGTTATCATCTTACCTTTTCATAACAAATTTAATTTGATTGCCCACTTGAATGATGTTTTCCAGCCTTGGGATTCCCTATCATGAGGGACTTCTGAAAGGAATGTCTTCCAGTACTTCTTCCACACACAGATCATTCGCATGTCCTTCAAATTTTTGGTCTTAAAAACAATCTTCAAAGATTAAACTTTGTTTTTCAATATCCTTAAACAGAAGACAAAGAAAGAAAATCATTGTAGACAATAAACAACAGAACTGAAGCTGGTGTGCAGTGGCATGATCTCGATTCCTTGCAATCTCTGCCTCTCGGGTTCAAGCAATTCTCATGCCTCAGTCTCCCAAGTAGCTGAGATTACAGGTGCCTGCCAGCATGCCTGTCTAATTTTTGTATATTTTTAGTAGAGACAGGGCGTAACTATGTTGGCCAGGCTGGTCTCCAACTCCTGACTTCAGCTGATCCACCCACCTTGGCCTCCCAAAGTGCTGGGATTACAGGCAAGAGCCAATGTGCCCAGCCATAAACACTATTTGGAAGCAGCTTTTCGCTACTATCTGCTCGTGACTGCAATAACCCTCCTCCATTGGCTGCCTTACAGTAGCGCATTTCAGGCTACACTTTCATCTGCACTGCAGCCATGAGATCAATGTTCTTTACCCCTTCAACCACGTGAGCATGCTATTTAATAAGAATTAACTCTCCACAAAGAATTCATGGAACGGGAATGAAAAATAGTAAGCAGAGGCTGATTGAAATTAAAAGAGGCAGAACAACGTTAACCAACGTTAACACATGAAGACTGTTTAAAGCCAGATTTAAAACAACATGTTTTCAGATAATGAGGAAATGTGATACTGTTCACATAAGAGTAAGGAAACTCAACTAAGGGCTACATATGAGTTGACACCAAAAAATCACTGCTAAATTTGTCAGATACGATGAGGGAGTGGCTGTGCGGGGATGCACACTGAACAGATAAAATGATGCGATGACTGCGATTTGCTTTATAATATTCCCGCAAAGGGAGGTAAAAGAATAGCAGAACAAAATGTGGACAATCTTAATGGTCACAGAAATTGACAAACGGGTATTTTAGTGTTTATTGTACTATTTTCTCTACTTTTGAATAGGTATAAATGCTATAATTTAAAAATGTTTAAAAAAAAATGGTCAGGAGCAGTGGCTCACTCCTATAATTCCAGCACTTTTGGAGGCCGAGGCAGGTGGATCACTTGGGTCAGAAGTTAAGAGACCAACCTGGCCAACATGGTGAAACCCTGTCTCTACCAAAAATACACACACAAGATATTAGCCAAATGTGGTGACAGGTACCTGTAATCCCAGCTACTCGGGAGGCTGAGGCAAGAGAATCACTTGCACCCAGCAGAAAGAGGCTACAGTGACCAAGATCATGCCGCTGGACTCCAGCCTGGGCAACAGAGTGAGAATCTGCTTCAAAAAGAAAAACAAAAATAAAGCAAAAATTAATTTACTATTCCCTGCTCTGAAGCCACATCCTAACAGAATTCTAAAAAGAAAGATTCTAGCAATTCACATGGTGCTATTTATATAGAGATCTCCCTTGCACCTTTGTATGTAAATTTAAATATTTTGCAACCTGATGGCTCAGAGGGGTCCAAAGCTGGGCATGGTAACACATGCCTGTAGCCCCAGCCACTTAGGACACTGAGGCAGGAGGATAACATGAGCCCAAATGTTCTAGTCACGCCCAAACATAACAAGACCTGGTTTCTTTAAAAAGAAATGGGGAGCTCTGAGGGAGCTCATCGATGAATTATTTTGGTGACATCAACAAGTGCTACCAAAACACTACTATAAAATCCAAAATTACATCTACTACCAGATTTTTCTCCTTACTTCTGGATTCATTTATCCAATTGCCTCTACCTCCACACCTCAACTTGAAAGAGATTAATTTCTTTGATCTTAGATTGGCTTTCCTCTAACATCTAAGATTTGTATTAAATTCTTACTTCATGTCATTAGCACCAAATCTGAGAGGATCTACTATAGGAACTCTGTGAAATAAGAAACACACAGAATGATACAGTTATCATATCTGGAAAAAGAAATATACCCATAAACAAACAACAGTAAAAAATTAGAGGCTTTCAGTCACACTAAAGAATGATGTTAAATAAAATTATTCTGTCGATTTAACAGGAAACTATATAAACCTAATTCTAACAACCTTTCTATAAAATAAAAAAGAACCAATTGTTAGAGCTGAGAGTAAAAAGTGGAAGTTTCAGAAAGAGGTGAAGTCGACTGCGGAAGGTGCCCATCGCCTATCATAAAGGCTGCCCCAATCACACCCATCCCCCTTATTCCACCTAGTATCACCTGAGGTCAGGAGTTCAAGACCAGCCTGGCCAACATAGAGAAACCCCTTCTCTACTAACACAAAAATTAGTCTTGTATGGTGGTGGGCGACTGTGAGGTAGGAGAACTGCCTGAACCCAAGAGCCAATGAGACAAAATCACACCACAGCACTCCAACCTGGGTGACAAGAGTGAAAACTGTCTCAAGAAGAACAACAACAAATTCCTTTGGGAAGGCTTTCTTCATAGAGATCTTCAACATGAGACTACAAAAAAGGGTATGGAATCATCGCCGGACCTTTGGCTTTTACAGCTTGAGGTATAAGGACAAAAAGAAAAAGGGATATCATTTGAACACAATCTGCAGAAAAGAATCATTATTGAATCTGTATTGCTCTTTAACTTTCTTTGCTTGAAACAGAGTTTCACTCTTGTCGCCCAGGCTGGAGTGCAGTGGCACGATCTCGGCTCACTGCAGGCTCCATTTCTCAGGATCAAATGATTCTCCTGCCTCAGCCTGCTGAGTAGTTGGGATACACGAGCCTGCCACCACCCCCCGCTAAGTTTTGTATTTTGTGTAGAGACAGAGTTTCACCATTTTGGCCAGGCTAGTCTCGATCCCCTGACCTCAGGTGATCCACTCATCTCAGCCTCCAAAGTACTGGGATTAGAGGGATGAGCCACTGAGCCGCCTGAGCACTTTCTTATGTTATTAAATAGCCTAACCCAGGTAGGGGCAGTGGCTCATGTGTGTAATCCCAACAACTTTGAAGAACAAGGTAAGAAGATTGCTTCAACCTAGGAGTTCAAGACTGGCCTGGGCAACATTGCTCGACCACCTCTCATCTCTACAAAAATTAGGTCAGGTGTGGACCACATCTAGCTAAATTTTTTATCTTTTATAAAGACAGGGTTTCATCATGTTGCCCAGGCTGGTCTCAAACTCCTAAGCCCAAGCCATCCTCCCACCTCGGCCCTCAAAGTGCTGGGATTACAGGGCTCAGGAAGCCTCATGTTTTCATTAAGAAGTTTCCTACTCTTGCAGACCTGGATAGTTTTATTTTTGTTCTTTAAGGCAGGGTTTCCTCAGTCTCACGGGTTGGAGTTCTGTGGTGGGATCATAGCTCATTGCAGCCTTGAACCCTGGGGTTCAAGTAGTTGGGAGGCTGAGGTAAAACTACAGATACAGGGTCACACCATGTTGCCCAGACTGCTCTTGAACTCCTGGACTGAAGGGATCCCCCTACCTCAGCCACACCTGGACACAGCTTTCTATTTTTAGCTACATAAACACTGTACCGGATCAGAGTTGGTCAAATGCCCTTTTCCAGCCAGCAACACACAGGACCTAGCTGAGACACTGCAGTTACCAGGCTTCACTCTGAGGAGAAGGCAACACAGCTCCAGGCCCATACTGTCCCTGTGACTTCCCTGAAAACCCACCCTTGTGACATCACAGAGCCCCCCTCAGATGGACCCAATCAGAACGCTAAAACAAAATGTCAGTTGCATGCCAGTCAGATGTGGGCAGTGCTCATGTTTCAAAAGCTAACACTGGCATGATTTAGTGTTGGACCCAGAAAAATGAAAGATAAAAATATGTAAAATACGCACTGAGTACAATGGCTCACACCTGTAATCCCAACACCTTCAGAGACCAAGGCAGGTAAATCACAAACTCAGGATTTTGAGACCAGCCTGGCCAATAAGGAGGCTGAGGAAAAAGAATTGCTTGAACCCAGGAGGCAGAGACTGCAGCCAGCCGAGATCACGCCACTGCATTCCACGCTGGGTGACAAGAGTGAAAACTTTGTCTCAGAAAAAAACAATCCTTTGGGAAGTCCTTCTACAGAAAGATCTTCAACGTGAGACTGGAATAAAAGTACAAGATCATCCTGCACCTTTGGCTTTTACAGCTTGAGCTGTAACTGAAAAAAAAAATATATCATTTAAATACAGTTTGTAGAAAAGAATAATTATTCAATCTGTATTGCTCTTTAATTTTTTTTTTTTGACGAAGTCTTGCTCTGTCGCCAGGTGGGAGTGCAATGGCACAATCTCAGCTCACTGTAACCTCCATCTCCCATGTTCAAACAATTCCCCTGCCTCAGCCTCCTGAGTATTTGGGACTACAGGTGCCTGCCACCATGCCTAGCTAATTTTTGTACATTCAGTAGAGACGGGGTTTCACCATATTGGCTAAAATGATCTTGATCTCCTGTCCTCATGATCCACCCGCCTTGGCCTCCCAAAGTGCTAGAATTACAGGCATGAGCCACCATGCCCTGCATTGCTCTTTAACTTTTATAATTTGTTCTTTACTTCTGTTATTGTAACTGAGTCCAAAAAATAGTATTAAAAAAATAAAAAGAAACCCCCAAATGCTAACATTCTGATTATCAAAGTCTACAGTAAAATGTCCCATTACAGCTGGGTGCGGTGACTCACACCTGTAATCCAGCACTTTGGGAGGCTGAGGTCAGTGAATCATATGAGATCAGCAGTTCGAGACCATCCTTGCCAACATGGGAAAACCCATCTCTACTAAAAATACAAACACTACCTATGTGTGGGGGCAGGTGCCTGCAATCCCAGCTACTCGGGAAGCTGAGGCAGGAGAATCACTTGAACCCAGGAGGTAGAGGTTGCAGTGAGCCAAGATCATGCCATTGCACTCCAGCATGACGGACAAGGGGGAAACTCCAGCTCAAAAACAATGAAATAAAATAGAGCAAGAAAAAGAATGAAATAATCCCATTATTTAAGCCAATGTACATACAGCCAGACTTTCTATAACAGTCTGAACCAAAGTATAAGGCCAGAAAAACATACCAGCTAATGTCATTTAATATATACAGTTCTAAATGGAAAATGTAATATTTTCAAAACATAAACATTAGTGTAACCTTATTGGACTTACAAAAATAATTTTTTTGACTAATAGAAACCAAAGATTCTCCTGAACTGCAACATTTCAGCTAGCATTTATTTACTCAAGATTGAAATAATACAACATTTATAAAAAGTCAAGAACTGGGATGGGCACTGTGGCTGATACTTGTAATCCCAGCACTCTGGGAGGCCGAGGTGGTCAGATCACCTGAGGTCTGGAGTTCGAGACCAGCCAAACCAACATGGAAAAATCCCATCTTTACTTAAAAACAAACAAAATTAGCTAGACATGGTGGTGTACACCTGTAATCCCAGCTACTTGGGAGACTGAGGCAGGAGAATTGCTTGAACCCAGGAGGAGGAAAAGGTTGCGGTGAGCTGAGATCAAGCCATTTGCACTCCAGCCTGGGCAACAAAAGCTAAACTACGTCTCAAAAAAAAAAAGAGAAATTCAAGAGCTAGTCATTAAACAGGCTCACACCTATAACCCCAGCATCTTGCAAGGCCTAGGTGGGTGGATCTCCTGAGGTCAGGAGTTCGAGACCAGCCTGGCCAACATGGTGAAATGCCATCTCTACTAAAAATACAAAAATTAGCCCGGCATGGTGGCACGTACCTGTAGTCCCAACTACTATAGACACTGAGGCAGGAGGATCGCTTGGACCTGAGAGGTGGACATTGCAGTGAGCTGAGACCATGCCACTGCCCTCCTCCCTGTGTGACAGAGCAAGACTCTCTCAAAGAAACAAAAAATGTCAAGAGCATGGGAAGTAGTAAAATTAAACATAACCGACCATCTCCCATCAGAATAGCTCCATTTTTTTGCTATCATTATGTCTTAAAATCTATTTGCTAAGCATTGACATTTGTACTAAAGTTTTAAGTGCACCATATAACACATTAGTGCTGAGTGAAGTTTAATATCCTTTGCTGTACACTAAACTTGAATATCATACTTACAGATCAAAACAAAAGGATCTTTCCCTAAGGTAATTATCACTAATGCTGCTTTAAAATTATAAAATGCAAAGATTTTTATAATGTCACAACAGCTGCAAATTATTGTCTTTAAACAAAATAATCTAATAAATCACCATCACAAAAAAGCCCCACAACATAATCTATTTCATCTTATAAAAAAGCACTTACATTTATAAAACTGTTAGAGTCAATTTATAAAACTTTAATACCAAATTATTTTTACTTAGAATAATACTAAATTAACAATACAATAAAAGCATAGGCCACGTGTGGTGGCTCATAGCTGTATCCCAGCACTTTGGGAGGCCCAAGCAAACGGATCGCTTGAGGTCACAAGTTGCAGATCAGCCTTGCTGACATGGGGAAAGAAACCCCACATCTACTAAAAATACAAAAATCAGGCAGGCGTGCTGGTGGATACCTGGAATCCCACCTATTCGAGAAGCTGAGGTAGAAGAATCACTTGAACCTGGGAGGCGAAGGTTGCAGTGAGCCGAGATCGTGCCGTTGCATTCCAGAATGGGTGACGAGAGCAAAACTCCAGCTCAGAAAACAAAATCCCATTACTTTAAGCCAATGTGGATACAGACAGACTTTCTACAACAATCTGAACCACATCATAAAGCCAGAAAAACACATCAGCTAATATTATGTAATACATATAGTACTAGATGGGAAAGGTAATATTTTCAAAACATAAACATCAGTGTAACCTTACTGGACTCGGAAAAACACTTACTGGAGTTATAAACATAATTTTTAAAAGTAACAGAAACAGAAGATTCTCCTGAACTACAACATTTGAGCTAGCATTTATTTACTCAACATTAAAATAATACAACCGGTATAAAAAGTCAAGAGTTGGGCCGGGTGTGGTGGCTCACAACTGTAGTCTCAGCACTTTGGGAGGTCGAGGCAGGCAGATCACCTGAGCTCAGGAGTTCAAGACCAGCCTGATCAACATTAAAAACCCTTGTCTCTACTAAAAATGCAAACTTGGCTGGGCATGATGGCACATACCTGTTATTCCACCTACTCGGGAGGCTGAGGCAGGAGAATTCTTGGAACCCAGGGGGCGGAGGTTGCCATGAGCCAAGATCACACCACTGCACTCCATCCTGGGCAACGAGAGTGAAGCTTCATCTCAATGTATGTATGTATGCATGCATGTATGTATGTATGTATGTATGAATAAATAAATAAATAAATAAATAAATAAATAAATAAATAAATAAAATGAAAGTCAATCACTGGCCAAATGTGGGTGGCTCATATCTGTAAGCCCAGAATTTTGGGAGGCCAGGGCAGGTGGAGCATTCCAGGACAGGAGTCTGAGAGCAGCCTGGCCAATGTGGTGAAACCTCATCTCTACTACCTATGCAGAAATTAACTGGGCATCGCGGCAGGTGTCTGTAATCCCAGATTCTTGGGAGGCTGAGGCAGGCGGATCACCTAAGGTTAAGAGCTCAAGACCAGCCTGGCCAACAGGGTGAAACTCCAACTCTCTCATACAAAAATTAGATGGGCATGGTTGTTTGTGCCTGTAATTGCAGCTACATGGGAGGCTGAGGCAGGAGAACTGCTTAAACCCAGGAGGTGGAGGTTGCAGTGAGCTGAGATCACACCACTGCACTCCAGGATGGGCAACAGAGCAAAACTCCATCTCAAAACATAAGACGAAGAAGAAAGAAAACATTTGCTATGGGGAGACCAGAAATGTGATCTGCTGGCAGTCCTTCCATTTTAGGAAATCTAAACAGTGTGAGTCCATCCTGTTTTGTCCCTCTCCACTTCAGAAACAAAACCAGTAACCGAATCCATTCCATTTCTTTCAAAAGACATCTAACAATTAAGAGATGATATGCATGGCTCCATACTCTAAAAGGAAACCTGATGTCCTGGGTATCACAGACAGTTGATGAATGCTTGTTCACTTGACTGGTGTAGACTTCAATAATAAACTGTTCAATGCACTATGCCAGACAAATATTGCATCTCAGAAGTAGAACAAATACTGTTATTTTAGTTCTGTCTACACATAAATGCAATATTTACACATATTTATAATGGGTTAATACAAACAAACGGAGTTAATTGTTCTAGAGAGTAATAGAATTTGGACAACGTGAATTCTCCTGTCCTGACACATAATCAGTAGTTAGAGGCATTTTATTTCACATGAAAGGTGCCATTATAAAACCAACGGTAAGCATTAAATAATTATTGCACACGATCTTCTCATCTGAGTTAATACTGAAGACCTACCTCCTGAAGCTGGTTTATTAAGTTGTAAATCTTCATGTGTAGAATTAGTAAGTTCATGTCTGAAAGGTGAGAATAAACATTTACTATTCACTATGCAATATTCAGCAAAGTATTATCCACTAGTACATATTTAACATTTAATCATCAAGGTTGGTTTTGAAAAGAAAAGAAAAAGCACAACTAAATCTACAGAGTAACAAAACAAAATAACAATTGCAAATTGTCTCATCAGGTGCTTCATGGAGCATGTGTCCTCACAAGTAAAGTGGTAACTTGGCAACATACAGCTCTTTTGAAGCATACTCCAAATATCTTTAATCGGATTCTTTAATACCACATTGCATTCAAGGCTATCTCCCGCTCAACATCTATAAACACAATCATATATTCCCTCATATGCTTTAAAAGTCTCAGGCCTAAAAACAAGACATGGATACCATTTTCTTCCATCTACCAAAGAAGGAAGGGAAGAGACAAAAGAGAGAGATAACCAGGTATGGTGGTTCATACCTGTAATCCCAGCAGTTTGGGAGGCCAAGGCAGGTGGATCACTTGGATCCAGGAGTTTGAAACCAGACTGGGCAACATAGTGAAACACTGTCTCTACTAAAAATACTAGAATTAGCTGAGTGTGGTGGCACGTCAAGGTAGTCCCAACTTCACAAGAGGCTGACATAAAAAGATCATGAGCGTCTGGGAGTTCGAGGCTACAGTGAGCCATGATCACACCACTGCATTCCTGCCAGGGCGACATGGTGAGATCTTGCCTCAAAAGAAGAAATGCTGGTGAAAATGTAGAAACTGGAACCCACATACATTACTGGTGGGAACATAAAATGGTTGAACCACTTTGTTTGGGTGTTTCTTTTCTTGTCATTTTCATTTTATTTTTTTAAATAAAGACAGGGTCTTGCTATCTTGCCCAGACTGGTCTTTTTCAACTCATAGGCTCATGTGATCCTCACACCTCAGCCTCTCATGTGGCTGGGATTACAGATGTGAGTCACCACACCTGACTGGTAGAACAGCTTTGGAAAACAGTTTCTCAAAAGCCTGAATGTACACTATCATAGAATGCAACAATTTCTCTCCTAAGCATTTATCCCAGAGAAATAAAAATATATGTCCACACAAAATCCTGTACATGAATCTTCAGAGCAGTATTATTCGTAATGGCCAATACATGAAAACAACCCAAATGTTCATCAACTGATGAACAGATAAATACAATGTGGTGTGACTCTACCATGGAGTATATTGTTCAGCCAAAGAAGGAAAGAAATACTGACACATGCCATGCCATGAAGAAACTCTGTAAACATTGTGCTAGGGGCGGAAAAAAAAAAAAAGCCAGCCACCAAAGATCCCCACGTACTGCACAATCCTATTTCTATAAAAGGTCCAGATTATGCAACTCTATAGTGACAGAAAACAGATCAGCGGTTGCCTATGGGAGCACAGGCGTATAGGGGGAGTAGGAACTGATGGCAAAGTAATGTAGATTTCTCTATAGGGTAATGAAAGCTTCTAAAATTGATTGTGGTGACAGATGCACAGCTCCATGAACACTCTAAAGACCACTGAACAGCATACTTTGATGAATCAATTGTAAGGTATATTAACTATATTTCAATAAAGCTGTTATTTAAAATAAATAGGGGGCTGGGCACAGGTGGCTTGTACCTGCATATAATCCCAGAACTTTGGGAGGCTGAGGCAGGAGGATCACTTAAGGCCACGAGTTAAAGACCATCCTGGGCGACACAGCATGATCCCATCTCTACAACAAAAAATAAAAACATTAGCTTTGCGTGGTGGTGTACATCTGTAGTCCCAGCTACTCAGGAGGCGAGGCAAGAGAATCAGTTGAACCTGAGAGGCAGAGGCTGCAGTGAGCCACTGCGCTCCAACCTGAACAACAGAGTGAGAATCTGCTTTAATAAAAAAAGTAAAAATGAATTTACTAATCCCTGCTCTGAAGCCACATCCAAACAGAACTCTAAAAAAAAATTCAAGTAATTTACATGGTGCTATTTATATACAGATCTCCCATGCACCTCTGAATGTAACATTTAAATATTTTGCAACAGATGGCTGGGAGTGGCTCAAACCTGTGCATGGTGGCGCATGGCCGTAGCCCTAGATACTACTTGGGAGACTGAGAAAGGAGGGTAACTTGAGCCCAGGAATTCTAGCCCAGCCCAGAAAACATAACACGACCCTGTTTCTTTAAAAAGAAAAGTCAGGGAGCTCACTAATAAATTACTTCGGTGCGATCAACAACTGCTATCACAACACTACCACAAACTCCAAAATGATATCTATTGCCAGACCTTTCTCCTTACTTCTGCACTCATTTACCAAACTGCCTCCTCCACCTCCACAACTCAACTTGAATGTCAACTTGAAATTGATTAATTTATTTATTTATGTGTTATTAGACTGGCTTTCCTCTAACATCTAAAGAGTTGTCTTAAATTCTTACTTCATGTTATTAGCATCAAATCTGAAGGGATCTAGTGTAGGAGCTCTCTGACGTAAGAAACACGTGTTTGTGAGAAATCACACAAAGTGAAATAATCATAGCTATAACAAGAAATACGCCCATAAATAAATAACAGTAAAAGGTTAGAAGCTTTCAGTCATACTAGAGAGTAATGTTAAATCAAATTATTCTGTTAATCCAACAAGAAAATATATAAACCTAATTCTGACAAACTTTCTATAAAATAAAAAAGAACCATTTGTTGGGGTTGAAAGTGAAAACTGGAAGTTTTAGAAAGAGGTCAGACCAACTGGAGAATGTGCTCATCACACATCACCAAGGCTGTCCCAATCACACCCTCTGCCTCGTTATGCCCCCTATTCCACTTAATTCTTTCCCAGACCATAACCCCTTCTCCATAGTAAATATGGACCATAACTCCATATTTACTATGGAGATACTTCCATAGTAAATATCTCCTACTTACTACATATTTCCCCAGCAGATTAAATGCTCCAGAATGCATGGGGCAGGGCACTGTCTTCCACACTGCCCAGTTTCCAACACCTAACTCACAGCTACCAAATCACTTCAGGATTACGAGGTTGGAAGTAGTGATTATTTCCTCAATACTTGCAGTGGTTCACAGCAATGAAAATCCTAAGATTTCCTTTCCCCTTTCGGGGACCATAAAGACAGCAGCAATACTATCAGAGGCATTTGAACCAGAGCAACTCCATCTACAATAGGAGCTGGGTAAAATGAGGCTGAGACCTACTGAGTTGCATTCTCAGATAGCTAAGACATTCTGAGTCACAGGCTGAGGAAGGAAGTCAGCACAAGATACAGTTCATAAAGACCTTGCTGATAAAATGGGTTGCAGTAAAGCGGCCAGCCAAAACCGAGATGGGGACGAGAGTGGCCTCTGGTCATCCTCACTGCCACTACACTCCCACCAACACCATGACAGTTTACAAATGTCATGGCAACATCTCAAAAAAGGAAGCATAAAAATAATCCATTCCTGGCCGGGCATGGTGGCTCACACCTGTAATCCCAGCACTCTGGGAGGTCAAGGTGAATGGCTCACCTTAGGTCAGGAGTTTCACAGCAGCCTGACCAACATGGTGGAACCCCCATCGCTACTGCAAATAGAAAATAAAATTAGCTGGGTGTGGTGGTGCACACCTGTGATCCCACCTACTTGGGAGGCTGAGGCAGAAGAATCACTTGAGAACCTGCTTGAGAAGTAAACAAGACAGGCATGATCTGGGCTGTCAGAGCCACTGTGCTGAAGCAGGAAGAAAAAGTCAGCCAACAGCGCTCTGTGGAAAATGAAAGGCGGATGAGCCAGTGAGCCTCGAGGCT